AAAATTCAGTGTCCTTGCTTGTGCGTAAAGAGACAAGGGCTTTTTCTTCTGCAGTTGTCCAGATTTTTGGAAGCTGTTGCTCGATGCCCTTTACAGGATCTGAAAAAAAAAACATATAGAGTTGCATTACAGAACTTCTTGAAATTTGTGGAAGACAAAATGCCCTTGTCAATGATTTAAATGAGAAAAGTGGTACAGAAAGGTAAATGGAAATAATGACGGTTATGGGCTCTGTGCACCAACAAAATGGGGCGTTTTTTACCCACTTTTGAGTGCTCAGTGGACGAGCCGCTACGTATGTGCTGGAATTTACTACCTTACGGCGACATGAACACAATAGGGAACAAAAGATTGTATACGTCTCCAGAAGAACATTTCTATAGATGTATATGTCTCCACAAGAATTTTACGAAATAGATATATGGATTTTACTCAAAAACTAGGAATTTCCAAGGTAGGTTGATCGGTCGCAAATGGAAGAGTTATAGAAAAGGGATATTTAGTCCAAATCTAAGCCCAGGAAATTAATTCTGGTTAAAATAAGAGCATTTTGAAACTTCAATTTCAAACTCGAAAACTTTACTACACGAGAACAAAGAAATGTCTCCACAGGAATACAAATTCCAGAATGGGTGTACGTACGTGTGCGTGTGTGTGCATACTGAACTGGGGTCGTGCGTGAATTAAGTACGCATGACTTCCTGGATGTGCCAAAGCCATTAGCCAAAGCATCTTTGCTGGAGCGTCAGACCTCGTCATGGCACAAATGTGTTTGAATTTAACTTGTGATGGTCTCCAAGACTAATACCCCCCCCCCAATAACTTTGGATCATTCAAAATACCCAGTGGATGGACCAGGAACCAGTACAGTTCGTATGGGAGTGTATCTTATGCTCGTTTTGTCAATTCTGCAGGAGAAGTCCACTGTAGTTTTCTGATAGGAAAATCACGCCTGGCACCTTTGAAGACGATGACGATACCCAGACTGGAGCTTTCTGCAGCAGTAGTAGCTGTAAAGATGGAGCAGATGCTACGAAGGGAGCTGAAACTGAACGTCTGCGGGTCCACGTTCTGGACTGACAGCATGCTTGTGCTGCAATACATCAAGAACACATCAAAGCGCTTACACACGTTTGTAGCCAACAGGGTGGCTGTCATACATGATGGTTCATCTGTTGACCAGTGGCGATATGTAAATACGGATCGAAATCCTACTGCTGACAACAAGATCTCCAAAGAAAGGTGGAGAAAGGGACCAAAATTCCTCTGGCAGGATGAGAAGAGTCGGCCAGTAACTCCTCAAGCTCCAAATCTTCTCGAGACGGATCGGGAAGTGAAAAAAGTAGCAGTGTCACGAGCTACGGGAGGCGCAATGACAGCTGATCCTGTGGCAAGACTTATCAGCAAGTATTCCAGTTGGAACCGTCTAAAGAAGGCTGTGGCGTGGGTCCTGCGTTACAAGAAGTGGTTGGTTGAACGCAGATCTCGATCCATATGGAGTGGAAATCGATTGACCGCAGCAGAGATGGATGATGCAGAACTTGCTGTAATAAGATACGTGCAAAGAACCAATTACTAGCAGGAGATCCGAGACTTAGAGAAGGGGAGACGTTCAGTCCAAAGGCAAAGTCCCATCTACAGTCTTGAGCCAATTATCGATGACAACGATGTTCTGAGACTAGGTGGTAGGCTCAGACAAGCGCCCGTAGAGGAGAGTCGAAAGTTCCCTTCGATTCTACCTAAGCATCATCATGTGTCAACCCTGATTGTTTGTCATGCACATGATACCCTGTCGGGTCATTCAGGCAAGGGACATGTACTATCTGTGGTGAGACAGCAGTATTGGATTCCGAAGGCCCGGTCACTGATCAAGAATATCTTGAAGGCATGTGTTGTCTGCAAGAGACTACAGGGAACACCACAGAAACAACGGATGGCAGATCTTCCCGAATGCAGAGTTACTCCAGGAAAACCTCCATTCACATATGTGGGTGTTGATTGTTTTGGGCCTATGTGAAACGTGGTAGGAGTAAAGAAAAACGCTATGGATGTCTCTTCACGTGCCTCTCCACAAGAGCCATACACCTTGAGAGTCTCCATTCACTGGAGACAGATTCATTTCTGAATGCCGCAGCTAGACGAGGTACGCCAGAGAAAGTGCTCTCTGACAACGGAACCAACTTTGCTGGAGGCGAGAAAGAAATAAGACAGGCCATCTCCCAACTCGAGAAGGATAGTCAGTTGCATGGATTCACCCTCGTCAAGCACATTGAATGGAAGTTCAATCCACCTGCAGCTTCACACATGGGTGGCGTCTGGGAACGGCAAATACGGACCGTACGGAAGGTGCTAGGAGCACTTCTGAAAGACCAAGTTCTAGATGACGAGCGCCTGAGTACCATATTTTGTGAGGCCGAAACCATAGTCAATGATCGGCCTATCACTGCTGTCTCTGACGACCCGAATGATTTGGAGGCCCTCACGCCGAGTCATCCGCTCAAATTCAGACCTGGGCATCCAATGCCACTGAGTGGTTTGACAGACGGAGACAAATACCGGAAACGATGGAGACATGTTCAGTATTTGGCAGAGAGGTTTTGCAATCGATGGCTTTCCGAATACTTACCAACCCTGCAGCGGCGGCAAAGATGGATTGAGCCACAAAGAAACACCAAGTCAGGCGATATTGTGTTGGTCAGAGACGACAACACTACTCGTGGCCAGTGGCCATTGGCACGAGTAACGAGGACTTTCCCTGGCGTAGATGGACTGGTACGAACAGTGGAAGTTCTGACACGCGGTGGCATCCTCAAGAGGCCAATAACCAAACTTTGCCTTCTAGAAGGCGAACTGGATTGAAGATATCAACAATTGAGCTCTATTCTACCAATTATAACTTAATTTTGGTTTTGTTTTTTGGGTTTCTGGTTGACTCAACATTTGGAAAGAATTTGAATCACTTAAGCCTTTTGTTGGAGTATTTTTTAATGTTAAACTGCATACATTTAGTCATTGTAATGTTATTTGTTATTAATTGATTAATGGTTAATTGAATGTGCGCCTGGCGAACGCACGCCTTTGCGCGTGTGCGCTGCGCTTACAAAATAATCGTTCGAATTCATATTAATTTGTTCATTGAATTTTACATGTTTGTAAAATCACATCGTTAATACTGTAATAGAAGTGTGCTACAAATGCCAACAAAGTCGTAAGTAAATTAAAATACTCTTTTATTGATTCGTTCATTTTCAAACTGCATGATTATTCATGACCGAAATATGATGTATATTGTAGCTTAATAATTAGAACCTAACGTAATGTTTGTATTGTTTTTCATATTATTTTTGTTGTTACAGATTAAACGAAGTTATCACCAGTTGTGTGATGTCGGTGACCAAATTATTGTAGCGCAGCTGCCGCCGTCGGTAATCTTCTACAGCAGTAGAGAGGTTAAGTTAAGCGTTTTTACTGAACGCGTACGGCAACGCGTACTGGAAGCTTCTTCCAGTACGCGTTGCCGTTCGAGGACGCGATAAAGAGTTTAAGTTGTCCGAGACCCTGCTGAAGTACGTGTTCGTACGGGAACAACTATGGCAGCGATTGTCCACGATATTGCTTTTGCGTATTTGGTAAGTGAGGAATTAACTGATGCCGATGAGGACTTAATTTTGTTGGAGCATGCTCTACGAGTAAAAGTTCCAAGAGTTCTTTGCGCAAGGCTTGACACGAGTTGCCTCACTGATAGTGAATGTCTAAACCTATTTAGATTTAGCCATGATCAGGTTAGACAGCTAACTACTCTACTGAGAATCCCTCCTGAGATCACTTGCTACAACAAGTCCACGGTTTCTGGCCAGGATTCCATGTTCTTCTTGCTTAGACGTCTGGCGTACCCAAACAGGTTCGTTTAAATTAGTACACTTTTTGTATTGTACCTTTTATAGATTATCATTATAGTTTGTACAATTTATGTATGCATTTGGTTCAGCTTACTTTTATTAATGTGTAACAATACATATCAAAGAAAAGGGGGAACGGAAATGCTTGAACACAATTCTCAATATGACTATAACGTCGCATTTTTGTTACACTACACATTGACAGATCTTAGCAGACTGTTTGGCCGCCATCCTGAAGAGTTGTCCATAATGATCAATGCCATCCAAGATATCATATGGGAAAATGCTGGAGATAAGTTATCCAATCTCAATCAACCCTGGCTGTCCCACTCATTGAAAGAATTCGCAAATGCCATCCATCAACGTGGGAGTCCACTTGCATCGATCTGGGTATTCATTGATGGTACCCGTACGCCCGATTTGTCGACCTGGCAGACACCAACGAGAAGTAAGAAGAATTTGTTCTGATTTCGGTTAATAATCGTAAGGGCAAACTTAAGCCGATAACCTCATGTAAGATCAATTGTAAAGTTTACGGGTAACACCATATGTGGAAAGACATCTCTTCTTTTTGGGAAAGTGTGGTCCCGAAAAGAGGTGGGTTGTGTGTAGAACTCGACATTTCAGACAGTGTGCTCTGTCCGTCCTCAGGAGGTTGAGTGAGGACGGACAGAGCACACTGTCCGAAATGTTGAGTTATACACTCAACCAACCGGTTCTTTTTCGGACCACACTTCTTCCAAGAAGAGATTTCTTTCCACATGGTGTTCCCCGCAAACTTGATACTTTATCTCATCCGCTATGCAAAGCTCCAAGTCATGACTTTAGTTGTGACTAAGACTGTCTTTAGTCTGATGAGATGGGAAACTTTCATATTAAAGTAATTGCCTTCTTTCAACAGGTATACAACGGCCATAAGAGAACGCACGCTCTCAAATACCAGTCAGTCGTCACCCCTAATGGCCTGATTGCCAACATGTTCGGGCCAATGGAAGGGAGACGCCACGACTCAGCCTTGCTAACCGAGAGCAACCTCATGGAAGATCTTCAGATGCTCCCCAACCATTAATCGGGGGATACATTCCTATACGGGGATACAGCTTACCCGTTACGACCACAGCTACTAGGGCCATTCAAGGGAGCGAATCTATCGGAGGACCAGCAGCTGTTCAACAAGAAAATGAGCAGTGTTCGTGAATGTGTCGAGTGGGCATTTGGGAAGGTCGTGTCGTTGTTTGCCTTTGTCGACTTTAAGAAAAATCAGAAATTATACTTGCAATCTGTGGGCAAAACGTACAAAGTTGCGGTTCTGAAGACCAACTGCCACACATGCCTCTGCGGTTCCCAGATTTCAGATTACTTTGGTGTCAGGCCTCCACGGCTGGAACAGTATTTGGCGTAATGTTATGATTGAGTAAATTTCAACAGCATTTGAAAGATGATTATTAGACACACAGGCTTAAACTAAAAGTCGTTAGCTCAAAATGTTTTATTAAATTCTTCTGTCACATGAATACAGCAAGAGTCCGGGGTTTACAATGCGTTTGTGATAATAGTTACAATAACTTACAATAAATACAAAGCCATTAAACTTACAAAACGTTTTGCAAAATACTACACTCTTATTATTTCAATATTGAAGCCCAAATAAAATTGGTTAATAAACCAGACGAGTTTTTTGCCACCTCGATATCTACATGTATAGCCTAATTACTTTAGAAGTTGCCGCCTCATGAATTCCATTATCATCTTTCTTTCCTCACTTTCCGCTTCCATTTTCTTTTCCCTTTCTTTTCTCTCTAGCTCAAACTTTTCTTTCTCAAATGCCAGTTGTTCACTCTTCAATTTGATCTCCTGCTCCTTCAGTGACATTTTTTTCTCTGCTTTCGACTTAAGAAATATCATCAGATCTGAGGACGACGAAGATCTCCTTGCTTTCTGGGATGTGGCGGCGTTGTCAGAATCAGAGTCGCTGATCTGGCTTTCATCGGCTGCAATATATAGGTAAAAAATGGAATGAAATTAAAAAAAAGCATTACGTGAATGTTCAAAACTTGTAACATCAAAGCATCTTAACTATGACAGCAACGAGACACCTACCTGTACGTTTCTAAGGCAATGTTTCCAAAGCCGCCTTTCTTATCTCCACTGCGATTTTTCCTCTGCTTCTCCTTTTTCTTGTTTTCACTCTCAAGTCTGCTAACTTGCTCCTCCTGAAGCTCTTTGATTTCTTGAAGGAGTTGATGTTTCTCCTCCACCTCCTCTTCTGTGCCAGATCTACAAAATTGATAAAAGATGCAGCCGTTTTTACAACCAGAATTTCGACAATGTCATATTCAAAGCTCTTAACTCACTTTCAGTTATAGCTCTCTCTGTAATCATCACGCACAATAAAGTGGACTTGAGCGATTTCATGAGAAGAAATATCGGGTAGCACCTCTTCAGCGCCTCGGCATCTTCTTTCTTGTAGTAGGTCAATAAAAGGGATGTTCTTTCCCTGCAGCGTCGCCCACTCAGACCCTGGAGTTCCGTTGCGTCTGCGATTTCATCCCATTTCTTTCCAGGTTCAGCAGAGGAGTATGGATCATTAGCCAAGACCTCTCGCAACAAGATGATGTCGTCATTGGCCGAAAATCGGAATTGCTTTTTTTTTGCTCCGGCCATAGTAGGTAGGCTTTATCTTTTTTGTTGGAAAGTAAACTATTGAGAATAAGCTTATAGCTTTACCAAACCAAAGAGTCAGGAAACTAAGAGCAATCTGAGCCAAGCAAAGCATGCACATCACTGATTCAATTCACTTTAATTCATTCAAACTCACATTAATTTCCATTCCAAATGAAAAATACAGGCAGGGAATACAAGAAATAGTGATAAGGATTGTCGAAAAGATGTAATGAGGTATATGGAGGCATTTTTTTTTCGACAAAGATAGAATCGAAGTATCGGGAAACGTACAGATCATCTAGAAAAGTACATAATGATAAAAAAACATTTGCTGAAAAACCAAAAGAGAAGCAAACTATGTCAGATGATTGGAGATGAGAGTGATTTAATGGATTCGTCATCAATTGCATTCCAAAAACTAAGTGTTTTTAATGACTACGATATGCGAGTGTATGGTACATAAAGATGTAATTACACAAACTGTTTGGGATACATGAAATTCTTCATAGGCCTTCGTGTAATAGAATGATGAAGATAAATTCATGCTTGTTTAACCATCACAGTGTTGTGGCCAAGCAACACGATCACCATCAAAACACACACATAAAACATACCTTTTTCAATGAGGTTAAAAAGATTCGCATTTCATTTTAAATGATATTTTTTTTCATGAATGTGACAACAGATGAAGTAACTTGCGAGAAAATTTCGTTATAACTTATTATACATGGAATGTGCCTTAAAAAAAGGAGGTTTTCCTTACCTTTCTACACGTTTTTACGAACGGCAAAACCAGTATTTTGGCGTTGTGAACGGCAAGCTAGCAGTTGAACGTGCGTTGCGTTGCGAACGCAATTTTCGTGACGTTCACGCGCGTATCCATGACGCAACGCGGGCCGTAGGCGTACGCGTTCTTGCGCGAGAACGCGTAACTTAACCTCTCTAGTTTTACCCGTTTATTACTTTTATTATTATTTTAAAGATAATTCAGCATTTCGTATTACAAATCTTTGTAAAGCAATTTATAAATAATTGTAATTACCTTTATTTCTAAACAGGGTTTTGCAACTTCCAAGTCATTTCTCTCAAACCTTCATTTTAATACTATCTTCATTTCTATTTTTAAACCTGTTTCTTGTTTATGCTTACATAGCAGTTAATTATTGACCTTCATTTCAGTTAATCCTTATATATCTCATCATTATTGTTAATTTATTTATCAGTATTATTTATATTCAAATACATTCTACCCCGATGTTTTAATATGAAGTTGGCTCCAATGATTTATTTACTTATGCATATCCTCCAACAAAATCCGCACATTCACGGAGTGAAAAACCAGTGATAAAAACTCGTGGAGAAAATACTCTGGAAAACCCCACGAATAGTACTGATTTTGTTAGACCTATTAAGCTCTCCACTCTCAGTATCACATTTGTTTAAAGTAACAATTAAATTAGTATGTGAACTCGTTGCCTGTCGGTGCGCAGATGAAGCCAACCCTCAGCCCTCTCTATTTATACCACCTACTAACACCTTTCCACCTCCGCATAGCGGAGTGATATTCCAATTGAGAGAACTTAATTTCGTTCTGTTCAACCGAACGAAATATCATATTGTTACTCATTGTGGTTTGTGTTTCAGTTTTATAATTTATTTATATCCATATATAAAAAAATAGAATTGCAGGCCCCTCCCCCCCGAATTGTCCCCCTGGGATGCCCCCCCCCCCCCATTTACCCAGTCTGCTTTCCATTCCGATATTTTCCCTCCCTCTCTTCCCCCTCCTTGTCTGCTTCTATTATCATTTCTGCACCATTCTACACTTTAAAATAAAAAAAATCAAATTGTTGGTTTAGTTTGTTTTTCTGTATACCACTTCCCCCCACCCCCCCTTCCCCCGTCCTCGTCTCGTTCTATTTTGATTCGGAACTCCCCATCCCCTCCTCCTTTTTCCCTCCCTCTTCAACTTCCACCTCTTCCTCTTCCGCTTTCTCCGTCTGATTTGGCCCGATTGTACATGCAGTGTCTTCTAGTAATTCTGTGTTTATGGAAACAGAAAGTAAAACAATAGTTTTTGGTAGGAGGAGCAAAAGTAATTTTTGAGATGCCTCATGTGTTTCTTTTTTGTTTGTTTTTGCTTACTTCAATTTGTGCGACACTTTTTTTTCATCAAAACTATCACAGCTCTCACAAAATGCAGTAATGTAGACAACAGGGCAACGCAAACAATCACACCTACACTGTTTGTAATTTAATGCATAAACGGAATTGAATTTTTTCTTTTTTAAATACCAAGCCTTCCGTCAATTTTGAAAGAAATGAGGTAATTTACCAAAACATTCGCATTTTATAAGCTGTGAAAACTAACTTTAAAAATGACGGCATGATTATTGTTGCATCAATTTGTATTCATCATGCACAGACGACGTTGTTTTAACAATGATTTGACTTACCTGCTAATTCTGCGGGGTTGTAACCGGCTGCCATTATTAGGCCTATGTCCTTTTCTTGTGCTGTTAGGAAAGATCATGATGAGCATTATTATGTCGTAAATCGAGGATTTCTTATTGTTTCTCCTCCCCTTTGTCTATACCCTTAATTGTTTTTGCAACAGCTCTCATTGTTCTCGTTTCTTTTCGATAAAGACTGAAATGATTGTGATCGTATAACATCATCGGATAGGTATATGTGATATAAAGCAAACGATAATTATACTAAACAACATCAATTTTAAATGAGTTCAATTAAAATTCTAACCTCTATTAGTGATGCCATGAAACAATGAGCACCGGCCCCTGGCACCGGCAACAGCCCCTGGGGAAGATCAGTTAGGGGTGGTGGCAGGATGGGGAACATTATGGTCTGGCCCTCTCCACAACAATAAAATATATTGAACGCAAGCGATTATTTTTTTTAACTTTGCTGTAAAAATATCACCTTTCACACCATAGTGCAAAAGGTTTGATTTCCATGGTCGGCCTATTCCTCTGTTTGCTATGTTTGAAATGATACAATGAAGTTCATTACCGTATTAGCGTTTATAGACCTAAGGAAAATACTGTAATGGTACAGTATAATATCTTTAATACGACAGAGAAAGTCAAAATTAACCAAACACCCAATCAACGAATCACGGTGGCAGAAAAATACATAAAATAAATACAACTATCCCTGGAACTAACCTGGGGTGCGCCGGAGGTCAGCCAATATTTTGTTGAGGGCTTGTGGGGAGCCTTTCCTAAATGTCGTCAGTCTGCGCCGAGACTTAAGGCGGAGCGTTGGGTATGCGCTGTCCATATGGAGCAGCGCAAACCCAACGGCTTCGCTGATGGTCTCACTGACCCGAGTCATCTGTTGAGGAAGAGATGGACAGAATTATTTTCATGTTAACACATAAACAATTTCGTGAAAGAGCTCGTGAATAATTATAGTACACTCTCAAAACGCAGGTTAAAATTTTGTCGATTAAACAAATGTTACAAGTTTAACTAACGTTGTGTAAAATAGTCCAATGTTGCCCTGCACTGTAAACCATGTGTTTAGGTTTAGAACACCTAAATAAACACTAATCTGTGACAGTTTTTAAACATGTGACGCAGTTTATCCAATGAACATGTTTAATTTGAAAACATATTTGGTGTTTAAAATCAGCACACTGACGGTGTTTAATCTTTAAACGGAACAGTGTTTAAAATATATACATCAAAGGCGTTTAACATTTAAATACTACTGACGTTTAAAAAGTAAACACACAGTCAAAAAGAAAACACGTCAATCTGTTGTAATTTTAAACATGTGACACGTTTATTGCCTGTGACAGATTTTAAACATGTGACGCCATTTATTATTATTTTCAAGTGTTTATATTCACAGTGTGTGTTTAGTTTTCGAACAGTATTCAAAATTGCAAGTAAAACTTCAGTCACAATATTAACAACATTGAAATAAACGCATTTAGGGCACTTCACAAAGCTGTCTTCATTTTCACCTATAGGATTGTGGTGAAAGGCCTATTCAGTTCTATCGAATCATGAAAATGGACACAATAAAATACAAATGTATTTTTATGGTCACCCCTAGAGAATATTGTACATCACGACAGCAAAAATAATGTGACATTTATGTGAATATGCCACATGCCTATCAGTATGTTTCCAACAATCCTTTTTTAAGACCCCAACATTAAGGCCAATTACATTTTTCACAAGTATCAAAACAAAGAAACAAAAACATAAACAAACACAAAAAGGGTGAATTAAAAGTAAATGAATATATCTGGAAATAGGGCTAAAATCAATTATTTTCCAATTCAATGAGAGTTAAAAGTAAAACTGCAAATGAATTATACTTGTTTTTTTAAAACCTATGAAGGTTTGCGTTATAGTTTGAAGTGGTAAAATAAGTATTGATCTTTAGCTGAGATTTCAACAATATATCCAATTAATTTATACACAAATACCTTGTAGTGAACTGCATCAATTTGCTGGAATCTGCCAGGAAAACTTTTCTCTAATTATGATTTTTTGAAAAGAACTCAAAGCACGTGAAAATACTTTGGACAATCCAAATCAAAGGCATAGTTCCCCAAGCTGGAGAAGAAGCGCATCATTGTACGTGTTGTAGTTTGAGACTTTCTTGATGGTGTCTCCACATGTAATGTAAAATGTGGTTTTGATGCAGATACTCTGTCTGGTTCAGCAGCATTCTGTGGACATAAACAAGATTTCTGAGTGAGCCATACATAAACTGATCAACTTTGAAAGTGAAACCAAACTCACAGTAAAAAAAAAATAATGGAGACCCTAAAATGACAAGTCATTAATAAAGTTTACTCCAGGAAGAATATGAAAACTGATTACAAAATTGGGTTCAAAAGTAAATTGCACAGTTATCGGCCTTTTTGGGACTCACGTCAATATTAACCTTTGTTATCAGAGATAATGTGCACAAAGACTGTAAAGTTACAGCTTGAGCTTGATCGTGGATCAAATATTAAAAATAAAATCTGAAGAAAATAGGCAAGCTTTTCACAGTTTCGTACCAATAATTTGCAGTCATGTAGGTATTTACGGAGACTTTTTATTTAAAATTGTATTTCAAAATTGTATTCACTTAGAATGTTATACTTTTTCATTTCATGATGTTTTACCGCCAGAGTAAATTTTAAGTGGAAGTTGAAAGGTTCTGATGCAAGATAGAATCTCAGCCAAACATCATCATTCAATGAAATTGAAGATTTGAATAATATATTTTACAATACAAAATTACCTCATGAATAGTTAGCACTTTCCTCGTCTTCGTACCCTCGCCACGTTCAAACTTGGTGTTCTGCTGAACGTACATGTATGCGATTACATCGAGCGTCTACAGAGGACCCTATATTCAAAACATAACACATGTTCTGTAAAACGAATGGTTTTGAATCCATGTTAAATACTGCATTGTACCAAAAATTTGGGGATCATCTTTTATGTACACGCACTGCGGGTTTTTTCAAAAGTTTTATACACAGCTGATCTTTACAATCACACACTGCACTGCCAAATGACGATCAATGCCAAAAGACACTTACTTTATTTTAAAAGTCAATAGCTTCCTTCATCTGCAAGGGATTAGACACACCCTGAAAATATACAGAAAGAAAATATCAAAACAATATACGCCCATAACATCATGTGAAATGGAAATTATGGTTAAACAATTAGTACCTGACCTTACAAATACTAGAATTTTCTTTTCAAAATCATTCATGCTGGTCCCCTTCAACTTACATAACTTAGGCAGTGGTGATAACACTAGCATGCTTTTATTGAATAGTTAAATCACGATTTCAAAAAAAAAAGATCCACTTCACTGAATTTTCTAAGATTACAAACATTTTGACACTGCGTGTTTGCAATTGTAATTCGCCCCATAGGCTTATAGCCTCATATTAAGTATACACTCAACATAGACCACCCCATATGTGGCTCAAATACAGAACTTCCTTCATAATATTGTGAGCTGCACAGCAGTTATACTGTATAACAGCATCGTCATCCAAGAAACATAATATGAGGAAATCAAAATCAGGGTTGTTTTTTCCCCTTCATATTCATGTTTTATCACACGATCCTTTGGCCAATAATTACTCCCACTAATTCATCTCATCTCGTATTTCTAAATCTATCATATTGTATATCGGGATTAATTAAATCAAACAACACAAAAGACAAAACTTACCACCTGTGTGGGAGCTTCCAGAACTGGTTCAAACTACAACCGTCGTACTGCATGCACAGAATACGTTGCATCTGAGTACTCTTGCTGACTTGGCATATGCATACCAAACTTGACCTCTAGCCTAGGTCATGACCAACTGTTAGTACCTTCTGTGAGACTACATCATACATGTATATTGTTTCATTACCCGTGCAAATTTTGTTACCACGAATGACGATAATAATTCTCGCCATTACATTATTCTATTAGTGTGCCCAGATTATTGTCAGAAAAATGGCGGTTGTCTTTGTGCCGCGTAATTAACTGGCCCGATTATGCCGCGCCAGCACGCAATCAGATTTAATCCTATTGGTTAAGACCTAACATCACGTGGTCATATTTAAACATCGTGACGTGTACCGTGTTTATTAGGTGTTGAACACAAACAGCTAAATTAATAACGTGAGTTATTATTAGTGTCCTAATTAGTTAATAAGCCTTTTTTAAACAAAGTGTTATTCTTTGGGAATAAACAAAATGCTAACTAGTGAAATTGAACAGTTAAACCATTTTCTAAAACCGATCTCATAATAAACACCCTATAGCACTGTTTTGTTTAAAAACACATGATGTGTTTAATTTTGTCACATAGTGTTTAAATCTAAAACACTGCGTTTATTTTATAAACGTGTCACATGTTCTCGCGTTTTACAGTGTGGGTATTTTGTTAACCAACTGTTGGGCTGTGCACGTGTTAAATAAAAGTTGGTTAAATTAATCATATTACAAAAAGCTAGTTACATTTACCCCGAATTCAACAAGCGTTTGATACATTGACAAATGTTGGTTGAATGGTCTCAATACTTTCTGATATGCAATACTTAAGATTGATATTAAATGACTTAGCTGGTAGGATTTATGTGGCAAGAAAGTTATAGTATTGGCAAGACCTTTTGCATTGTCATTCATCTGAAAAAAGAAGACAGTTGTTTGAAAATAATTATTAGGAGAGAATACGACAGTATGCTGTGATCGAAGCCGAATACTTCCTTTATACTCCTGTTGTGGCTTAAATATTTCATGCTTTATTTCTATCTCAGGCGAACTGTCCGTGTGTTTACTTGTTGCTGTTTCTGTTTTGTGTTTGTCCATCCAAGGCATCTCGCCGCAAGCCTAGGCTTCCTGAAGATGCCTCCATACCTATATATATTTTCGCCCTTTTTAAAAATCTTTTTGAAAAACTCTATTTATAGATTTATGAACTTAATGGTGCTTTCTAAGCTTGTATTTCTCATTTTAGAATTGAATTGAATTTACAGTAGGGTAGTAATTAGGTTATGGATACAAACATGCAGGCATAACTCTTCTAAAATGAACGAAAAAAATCGGCCTTGAAATGAATGTCAATTCATGTATATGAACACGTTCTGCAATATTGTTCGCCATACTTCCAAACTACATGTTTCCAAGCACTATCTGCAATTCCGAATTCAGTGTTTAAATAAAACACATTTGAATCGTGCACAACATAGGCCTATATTTCTTGTCATGTTTATCTATACCAATATAAATCTTTGCTTAGGCAGTTTGTCCCAGTGCTAAAGTTTTACAAATCAGTAACTTACCTTCATTGATGCAAGCTCAAATTGTTTATGGAATGGTATGACAGCTTGGAATGATAGGACTGCTTGGAATGATAGGAACACTAAGAACATAAACCAAGAACACATTAACAAAATGCGCGGCATTGTTCATTATACGCACTTTTGTACGCGCACGCGATTGGTGGGTAACGAATGGTATAAAAATAGACACAAATTATTTTTCTTGCCGTGCTGCACCCGTGTTTAACGATTTTCTTATAAATATGAGCAAATTGTGCAGCAGTGCGTTTCTGATTCAAGATGTCCTCTACACACATTGTCGATAATGGAATGACCACCCCCAAGTACAGTAGTAACTGTTGATAATGGAATACCGAGACTGAACTGCAACAAAAGGAGCTATTGTGCAGCTGTTTAGCGGCTCCTTTTTTATTTTATTTTTTAGAAAGGCTCATCCAAACAACTTGAAACTGGACTTAAATTCCGGGATCCTGCGCAATACACCCGCCAATTTTCGATTTCAAACAGTACCTGCATGGTTCTGGAGATAATTGCCGTACAGACACACAGCGCAGTGCCCGAAAATAAGTTTGCTTCTGCATTCAATAGGGGACGTTGAACTAAAGAGGGACAATAGGGGGTCCCCAATTGCAGGAAATACACACTTGTAAGTGTGCTTATGTTGTAAGTGTGCTTATGGTGTAAGTGTTGTGAACCTTTTTTTTAAAATACAAACACAGCAATGAAAAATGTTCAGTGGTACAATTATTATATCATGGGAGGACCTGTTTTCGCGGTGCCCTATTTCCGCGTCCTTACCAGCGTTACGCGGCGCGCTGTAAACAACTCCCCGTGACGAAATAAACTTTTCTAGTTGCTGACAATCTCCTCTCCTCTCCGCTGACCCAAAAAGTGGAAAGTAAAGGCTCTACCGGTAAGTTGTACTTGTAAATATCAAAATTTGGGTTATTTAGGCCTAATTCGCAAGGTACAAAACATGTTTATATTGCTGGAGCCATAAATAATTATTGCATAATCATTGAAAGTTTCAGCTTACAAAGTTTCGAAAAAAAATTCGTAATGATCAAAATCACGTGACTTGTTTGAGTTCCGAGCATGCTGGGAAAAAAGTACGGAGGCCTATAAAAGACATGTGGCTTATATAATTTTTCTCACTGTCTAGAAAAATCGGTATTTTCCTCAAAATGAAGGAATGAATTAACATACAGCAAAGGCTTATTTTGTATAAGACGGTTATTAATGTGCATGTGAGATATTAAAAATATACATTTGTTCATGAAAAGAGCGTGTGTTGTGCTTTCTTTAATAAGACTATACATTATCAGAGTATAATGAATGATATAGGCCTACTTAAATAAATACTTAAATAATTACTCCAAACTCAATAATAATGCACAACAAAGGTTGATTTATATCTGATAAAAAGAAGATTATTAATAAAATATTATATTATATTAAAATATTATATTAACTAGTTTTATGAGCAACTGATTATGTGACACCAATAGCAAAATCTATATAAATGTTCTTATCCTATAGAACATGTGCACAAGCCCTCTGTTGCAATCCAGAACAACTTCTTACAGAAACTACTCACCAACAGCTTTGTCAAAAGCATTTTGTCTCGTGATTGATGAGAATGGGTCAGTTGGGGGTGCTGCGAGGAGGTACGGGGTCCCTGAGTCCACATTATGGGATCGTGTTCTGGGGAAGGTTGACCCCGAAGCAACAAGATCGGGACCAGCTCCTGTGTTCAGCCTCGAAGAGGAGAACAACTTGGTGGACCACCTGAAGAAGATGGCGCTACTGGGTTATGGATATAGCAGGGCCGAAGTTATCATTACAGCCACAATATATGCTGTCAGTCTCAACAAAAGGGACGAAGATCATCCACTCAGCCTCAAATGGTTTCGCAACTTTATGACCAGATGGCCTGAGCTGAGTGTCAAGAAGCCACGCAGCCTGGATCTGTACAGAGCGAAGGCAACCTCTGAAGAAGTAGTCATGGCATACTTCGCCAAGCTCGATGAGATGCTGACAAAATACAAATTGAAGGATGAACCTGAACGCATCTTCAATGTTGACGAAAAGGGTCTGAAACAAAACCATTCCCCACCTTTCATCGTTGGTTCGGCCTCCTCATCCACCCCACTTGCTGTGACAAGCGGCAGAGGGATGACCGTTACCATCATCGGTGCTGGGAATGCTCTGGGTCAGCAAGTACCTCCATACTTTGTATTCCCAGGACAACGTATGAGGCAGGAGCTACTCAATGGCTGCTTACCTGGAACAGATGGGACCGTCAGCGAAAGTGGTTGGTCGAATACTGCTGTCTTCATGACATACCTTTCAACACACTTCTTGAAATATGTCACTGCGAGCCGAACGGAAGATGAGCCAATACTCCTTCTCTATGATGGTCATCGATCTCACATCAACCTACCACTGATTGACTGGGCAAGAGATCAACACATCTTGCTCTTTGTCTTGCCTGCACATACAAGTCACGTCCTACAGCCACTTGATCTAGCATGCTTTGGGCCATTTGAGAAGATATATAATTCCCTCTGCCACCGACAAATGCGAGCCAACTCAACGACAGGGATTGATAGATATTCAGTCTGTGAGATTGCATGCAATGCATATACAAAGGCCCTCTCTCCAGAGAACTTAAGGAGCTCTTTCAAGAAAGGAGGGATTTACCCTTTGAATAGTGGTGTCGTTGATCGTGCCATGTACGCTCCGGCTAGAGCTCTAAACAAGTGTACCTCTAACCCAGCAACAAAAGAAGGGGATTTCCCCCAAGTATCGGAGGTTGGCCCGCAAGGTGACCATTCATCTGCAGATGGTGGCCTCCATGATGTCAGACCAGATCTGTTTAAGGAGAGGGAAGACTCGATCGGACAAAGAAAAAAGGTACATGTCGCTCTCTTTGCGATCATTTTATAAAATTTAAGTTTTTATAATACTATTTTAATTCAGGAATTTCCCCGGCTTCAATTACCTTGTTAGATGTCTATTTTTCTGTGAGGAAATAATTGTTTTATTTGTTGCCTATGTTTCCTCTATTGAAAGGTTCCAAAAAAGAGGCGATGCCTTATCTCTGTGGTATCAGGAAAGCCCATCACAGAAGAGGTATGCAGAAACAAGATTGCTGCATATCAGGCCGAGAGCAAGAAAACCCCAACATCCAGACCACTCAAAACAAAAGCAAAGAAGGTTCACACCATATGTTCTCAACAGTCTGAACCTGGCCCAAGCAGTCCTCCCGCACTGCAACACATCATCGCTTCAACAAGAGCACCGCCATCATCTGATAACGACAGCGCCTCGGATATCGATGACACTGCTGACAAGTGTTGTGTTTGTCGCCGAGTCCGCCCCATTGAACTAGCTGAGTCCATCTACTTCACCTCGTGGGGCCAATGCATGTTCGAGAACTGCATGCACTGGACACACATCAAGT